CCAGCTTCTTTGGATAAAGCATTTGCTCAACCTCCTGATTACGCAAAGCCCTGGCTATTTCGTTTTCCACTGTTTTCACATAGCGAGTTTTTTTTTTTGGAACCAATTAAAATCGTTAAGCGAGGCACCACTGTACTCAATTCAGTTGTTCAAACCTATTTTTTAAAATGCCCCTAAAGCCAGCTTCTTTGGATAAAGCATTCGCTCAACCTCCTGATTACGCAAAGCCCTGGCTATTTCGTTTTCCACCCATGGTCAAGAGTGTTCGTTGGTCTCTGGAAAAAAAAAGAAGTCTTTTTTTTCTAAAATAATTTTTTTTTAAAAAAGGAAGATAAGCATCTCCCCTAGAGGAGAGTTTCTCTTATCTCTTGTACAATGTGCCTAGAGGCTACCTTCCCCTTATTCAACAGCTCCCTTCTCTATCTCGATTTGGGAGTGGCGAGGGGGGCGTGCGTCCTACTTTAAATTCCTTATCTTTATAACTCTCAGGTTCCGGAGCAATACAGTAAATATTTGTAGCTCCAGGTGTACATTTTTAAAAGCCGCCTGCTTTGATTCGCAGCAGCTTTTGCTCGGGTGCAGATTACACACACCTGGCCTATCTTGAGCAGGAGGAAGACTCGGGAGGCGGTATAAAGGCCTTGGAATGAGCTTGCCAGCCTAATTAAAACACGGAGCAATAAAAAGTTGTAGGAGGCTCATCGCGAGTGCAAAGTGGGCAGGACCCCGCCCCGAAATGGCACGCGGAGGCCCTCCAGTCGTGGAGCATCGCTGCTATTTGATGGCTGACAAGTAATGGCACTTAGGATTTGTTGATGCCCAGCTGGTGGCTTTTTCAGCAGAATATTGGGAATTTTGATTTATTTGAAATATGTTTACCCTGCTTTCCTCCTTGAAAAGGAAGCTGAGGCAGCTCGCAACATTTAAAGGCAGTAGGAAAAGCTAACAACAAGGAGTATGCAATTACGAAAAAGGACCAAACAGATACCATACAGTATTTTAAAAAAACAGTAAACAAAAGCAACACTGAAACACGTTCCACGCAGTCAAGCACAACTGTCCATTTTAACAACCTCACTCAGGCAGCCTACCATACAGTATTTTTTAAAAACAAAAGCAACACTGAAACACATTTCACGCAGTCAAGCACAACCGTCCATTTTAACAACCTCACTCAGGCAGCCAGTTACTGGGGGAAAGCTTGTCTGAAGAGAAAGGTCTTGGCCTGCTGGTGGAAGGATGGCCAAGAGGGGGACAGCTTGGCCTCCAGTGGGAGGGAGTTCCACAGTCTGGGAGCAGCGACAGGTCTTGGCCTGCTGGTGGAAAGATGGCCAAGAGGGGTACAGCTTGGCCTCCAGTGGGAGGGAGTTCCACAGTCTGGGAGCAGCGACAGGTAAGCCCCTCTCCTGTATCCCCACCAAACACACATCTGTTCAGGTGGCAGGATCGAGAGAAAGGCCTCTCCTGATGATCTGAACACCCAGGAAGGCTCATAAAGAGCAATGCGGTCCTTGAGATAGCTTGGACCCAAGCCGTTTAAGGCTAGATAAGTGAGAACCAGAACTTTGAATTGCGCCCAGAAATAGATCAGCTGCCAATGTGGTTACATGCCATCAAGTTGCCTGCGACCCATGGCAACCCTCTGAACGAGTGACAACCCCCCCCACACACACAAAATGTCCCGAATCTTCCTCAGCTCTTGTGAACTCAAGGCTGTGGCTTCCTTGATGGAATCGGTCTGCCAATGTCGTTACATGCCATCAAGTTGCCTGTGACCCATGACAACCCTCTGAATGAGTGACACACACACACCCAAAAAATGTCCCGAATCTTCCTCAGCTCTTGTGAACTCAAGGCTGTGGCTTCCTTGATGGAATCGGTCCATTTTCTGTCCGATCTTCCTCTTCTCCTGCTGCTTTCAACTTCTCCTGGCCTTACTGTCTCCTCCAACCGGGACACAGAGGTTTAAATAAATACCCAAGTCAGTTTATCAAACTATTCAGCCTATTTTGACAGAGTCACGTGACACTTTTGAAAATGAAAAAAATGTATTCAGCCCAAAGACAAACAGCCATTATTTAGTCAGGAGGTGGCTGAGTGGCCAAAAAAATTTGGGAGGTAGCGTTTTCGAATGCTGCACCAGATTTTAGCCAGAGAGGTGCAGGTGTGTGGTCTTTCTAGGTGTGGTTGTTTGGTTGCAAGGGTGAGTGGGATGCTGGATTAGCCCGTTTGGTTTGAGGACTTGGTCTCAGCCTACCTGAAGAACGGCTGGTTTGCACGCCTGCCTGGATTTGAAGGATCCCTACAGATAGCATGGTGCTTAAAAAGAAAGCCTTGATGTGCTAAAAGGTTTGATTGTCGCAGGAGGAGCTTCTAAAGCACCTGCACTTAAGGTCTGACTTCTCACGCCAAACAATCGTGTACAGAAAGAAAAAAAAAAAGACACGCTAGCCGATGTCACATCAGCGTTGAAGACAGACCGTTCCGGGAGATCTTCATGGCCTGCACATGAAGACCACGTTTACATCCAGAAAGCCAATCCCGAAACGAAGCAAGCTTCTTTGCAAATTATAGACGGTGCTTAAAAGCTCCTGTTGTGACCATCAGATGTCTTCAGAACTTAAGAAACACCCTCTTCTTAATGACAGCTTCAGCACAACTGCAAAACAGCGTCTGGGATTTCTGGAATAATAATGGGATTTCAGCTAGAATGAAGCATTGACTGCAGCTTACAGATTGGCCCCAAGATTTTTCTTTGGATTCGCTATCAGACGAGATGTTGTAGATATTTTTCCTACAGCTTCCTCCGCCTTTTAAAAAGTACCCTCTGCTCTGCATAGGTCTGTGGAAGCAGGAAAGAGGGGCCAGCTGCTCAGTAGCACCTGACGGGTTTTCTACCTGGAAACAGCTTTGAGGAAATAAAGACCAAAGGTTTGCAACCAGAAAAGCCTTCTATAATTCAGGTTCCAGACAGAAGAATGAGACCCGGCTCTTTCTATTCAACCGTGTTGTTCCTGAGATGAAGAATTACTACACGGGACCCCCTAACAAAGAGACAATTGTGTATCTCACCGCTAAAGTCCAAGATATATATAAAGGTGGAGGTAGGGGAGGGGTCTTAAAACACTTTTAAAAAACTCTCCATGGCCAACAGATCTAGACAAAATAAAGTTTGCCCCTGCATTGCTGTACTGTACACATGATAAAAAAAAACACTTTACAGTATGGATGCTCGGAATGTCAACATTGCTTTCGGAGGTGAGGTGGGGCCTGTGGCCGAGATAAGGCTCAGAACAGACTTGAAAGGTGGCCCTTCTTTTTTAAAAATTCCCCATCTTCGTGCCTACCAGATGGGCAAATATCCCAGTTGGCTGAGGACGATGGTTGTGGATGATGGTGGTTGTGGGTGGTAGGGTTTGGGGGTTCCTTCCAACCCATGGTGGAAGGCACCAGGTTAGGGGACATGGCCCCCATTTCTCTGCACAGGATCGTCTCCTTCAACCTTCACATTCACCATTGCTGGATTACAGATCCCATCACCCCCCAACAGAGGATATTCTTTCTAGAACGGATGAGATATGTAGTCCCCTTGGCATAATTTCTCTTCCGCAAGCATCAATCAACAATAAGGCTCTACCGGTCTAGTAGTATGCTAGGAAACTTTTCTTTGGTGGCTGTTCCTGAACAACTATGCGGCCATCTCTTTTGGCTGAGATGCTGTGTGACTATTTACACTTCTGCACCTATTGCTATTAATTGGCAAATTTTATGCAAAGCTGCGTCATCTTTCACCCTTGTTTCTGTCCTCTTTTTTGGCAGTATCTAAGTACCCACATTAGAAAGGACGCTTAAGGGAACACAATGCCCTTCGGAGGCTTTAGATCTGCTACATGAACGCTACATTTTATTATTATTTCCTCCTACAGATATACAACATTCATCTAGACAAAATGATCCAAGTTTCAATAGAACCAACAGAACACCAGTTTGTTTAGTCATAATTGCAACTGATTTATCCCAAGTAAATATTTGCACAGAAACATTTGTAATACAACTCTTGAATATCTTGATTGGTGCAATAAAGTAAATAAAACAGACTTAAATCTAAACATCAAAGATGGCAAATAACCACCCAGAGACAAAATGGATTGTCAACGCCAGCCCTTCCTTCCTTCCTTCCTTCCTT